AATTTATTTTAAAATAATGTTTGTTACCTACTGGCTTATTCAACATTTCTGCCTCTATAATATAATATTATATTATACAGGTGCATGTAAATTCCATCCCTGCAGACCAACAGGTAAAACTAGGTTTTTCATGGGGTTCTGAGCGGAACTATCAATATTTTTGATTTTACAATGAGATGTGCGTTTTTTTCAAATTCGATTTTTAATTTTGAGGGTGGCGTCTGATACTTTATTAGATCTAGTTAACTTTGAGGAAAATTCCAAGTACTTTTTAAAATAACCGTAAAAGAAAATAATAATAAGAAAAACCTGAAAATCTTATGCAAACCCAGTATTCGACGAAATGTTGTTTTTTTGTGTAAATTAAAAACAAATAACCATAGATATTTTAATTTTTCACTAATAGTTTAAATTAGCATTGTATTGAAAACAAAAATATTTGACATTTTTGATTTTTAAATGTCGATATGAAATAATTCGCTTTATCAATTAGCTCGTCCATTAGGTAGATACCTACCTTAAAAATGTGATACAAGGTTTTCAAAAATATAGAATCACATAATGTTTTTATAAGTGTTTAAAATTAAAATTTGATGATATTCGTCAACATGCCGAAAATTTTTAAATTTTTTGTAGTGAAAATCGATAAAATGTTTTATATTTATACCTACTTAAGATTTAAAAATGTAATACAACGTACCTAATTCACGATTTTTATTTTTTAAGCATTTAAGTTTATATATGTTTACATTTTACAACATATTATGATATTTAAACGAAGAATAACGATGTTACGTTATTTAGTTGTAGGTATACAATTTTATTCGTATGGTACTTGAATAATTTTTCATGAATTTTTATATTTTCTACACAGTAGGTACACACAATGAAATGTTAAAATGCAATTTTTTCGGGAAAAATTAATTCGATGTACTAATGTATTAATACTAAAATAAATAAATTTAATAATAATTAATAATATAAATAAATCATAAAATATAGGTACTTAGTAATATAAGTTGCCGACCATCTTCGCTCAGAATTGTTTTTCGCGTATGCAAGGATTTATCATTAAATTCAAATGTAATACGAAATTTAATTCGTACATGCATTACCTACTCTGACTTATCAAATGACTTGACATTTGACACTTACTCCTTTTTTCACCTGATAATTTAGGGTGGAATTTACATGTACCTACCCAAAACAGACGTGGAAGCATTCTTGGTGGAATCAACAAATATTTATTGAGCTGGGGGGAGGTGAGTGGCAATGATTGCACGATCGCTATTTTAAAACCAATTTTAACTAAAATATCCAATTAGATTTATGCATCAAATGAGAAAAATAAATTATTGGCTTAGAAATCAATTATTGGCGTTACATCCGTATGCGTCATCTCCGTTTTGCAAGTGCGTAAAATAGTGGATTTCAGTTCAGCAGTTCTCATGTAGCTTTGTTAGTTTTAAATGTTTTAATATTAACTATAGTGTGTTTTAATATTATTAAACTTAATGGTATGTATCGACGTTATCTGTGGTTTGGCAGAAGTGTCTTCCCCATAATATTATAATTTTTAAGCGTGTTAACACTTAATAAATAAAATTATGAGCATTTTAAAATTATTATAGTTCACACACTTATAACTTGTATGAAAATAAAAATGTCGAAAAAAAAACTTCTGCTAAACCTCATAAAATGTTGTTACGTTTAAGTTTAGTAATAGATTAATTCACTCTTATAATAAAACTAACAAAGCTTCACAAAAACAGACTACTGAACATAATATATCCACTATGTAACGCACCTGTAAAACGGAGACAACAGTTCCTGCTATAGCCTATAGGTGTTTTCTGTTTACTATTTTTCTATAGCTTCTTCTTAAGACTGACAATTTTTTTTTTTTTTTAAATTACTGATCTATAACGAATATTCAAAAAGTATTTATAATTTGGATCATAAACAATATATTTTTTACATATAAAAGTCTCATTTAAAATGTCATCACTCACTGGAGGTCGCAAATATAGGTAGGTAGTGTATTTTAGCATTGGATCGGAATATAAGTTAACATACAATTAATCAACAGTATTCAACAATACTCGAGCCTCTAAGATAAATCTATATTTTACAAACACTTGTTCTACTTTGCGAAACACGGTAATATTATTTTAAAAACTATCAATTGTACTTACTTGGATAAAATATTTAAATCGCGAAATATAACAATATTTCTTTCAACAATTTTAGTAATTTGTTATAGGTAGTCCAAAAATTATTATTCATAATTATAAACTATCACTACCTATGCGTATAATGTGGTATGTCCTACGTATACTGTTGTACTACTAATTATATGTAGGTACATAAAGTAGACTAAATGTTAACAAGTTTCATACTTTACATAAATTGTATTTACTTTGGGTACTTAACACTTATTCATATTTTTATCAAAATTAAAGTCTTAGAACTTGATATAAATAATTATTTAAATTGTATTTAATAGAATGGATTGCAGTTAAATACATTGAAGATAATGTTTTATATATGTGTCCTTCAAAAACAATAAAATCTAAAATAGAGATTGGAAAACAATATATGGTGAAATGGGTGGATAAAAAATCATATTTAGCTAAGGTGCTAAAAAAAGGAAGTAAGTTTTATATTTATTATTAATTTATATTGATAATTAAAACAATAAGACTATAAAAAATATAACAATAGGTAGTCTATATTAATATATATTATCAAATAAGTAATAGGTACTATAATACTTACACATTGAGGTATACTATACATAAAATTATCATTGCTGGTAAAGTAAAGAGGCACCTATCATACAATTTTTAAGTTTATATTTTTTTTAATATATTAGTTAATAATGGATTTTAATAAATACATGTTTTAATGAACATTAACTAGTTAAAAATATTGTGATTTTATTTTATTAGTAGGTAGGTTAAATATTTTCTCTTAACAATTACAGATTTTGTTTTATTTAATAGTATATAGTAGTTATTTTAAAATAATATAAAATATGTATTGACTAAGTTAGTAGAAACAACCTTTTCATTTTATATTTAAATTTTTAAGATAAAGAAAATGTACAGAAGTTTTTAGCTGGTAAGACCGTAAAGCCCATTATGGATGAACCAACTATACATTCAAGTAAGTGCTTTATGTCTTTATTTTTGATTTATTTAATAAAAGTTTTTATTTTTTTTAAAATTAAAGATCAAGTTGTAGATCAGATTGATGTTGATAAAATTGATGTACCAAAAAATAGCGAAACTTCTAAGTTGTTGTCTTATACCAGGGATGAACCACCAATAGTGTATTCCAGTAAGCACGTTACATCTTTATTTGTACTATATATTTTAATATTTAACATATTTATTTGTAATTATTTTTTATAAATTATAGGCCATGTAGTAGAACAGAATAATGTTGGTAAAATTGATGTACCAAGAACTAGTGAAACTTTTAAGTTGTTGTCTCCTACACTGGAAGAACCAATCATGTGTTCTAGTAAGCAAGTTGTGACTTTATTTGTATTATATATTTTAATATTTTAATATTTAACATATTTATATGTAATTATTTGTTATAAATTATAGGCCATTTAGTAGAACAGAACAATGTTGGTAAAATTGATGCACCAAGAACTAGTGAAACTTTTAAGTTGTTGTCTCCTACACTGGAAGAACCAATCATGTGTTCTAGTAAGCAAGTTGTGTCTTTATTTTTATTATATGTTTTAATATTTAACATATTATTTATTAAATATATATAAAATTATTTTTTTTTTTAAATTATAGATCATGTTGTAGAACAGAACGATGTTGGTAAAATTGAAGTATCAAGAAATAGCGATATTTTTGATTTGTTGTTTCATACTATGGATGAACAAATAATGCAACCTAGTAAGATTGTTATGTTTTTATTTCCATTGTATTTAATATTTAACATGTATGTATTTATTTTTTAATTATAGGTCAGGCTGTAGTGCAAAATGAATTTAGTAAAATTGATGCTTCAGAAAGTTGTGAAAATTCTAAATTGTTGTACCATAATATGGATGAACCAAAAATGTATTCTGGTAAGCATCTTGTGTCTTTATTTTTAGTATATTTAATATTTAAAATATTTATATATAATATTTTTTTTAAATTAAAGGCCATGTTGTAAATCAGAATGATGTTGGTAAAATTGATGCACCAGGAACTAGCGAAACTTTTCAGTTGTTGTCTCATACACTGGATGAACCAGTAATGCATTCTAGTAAGCGAGTTATGTCTTTATTTTTAAGTTAATACAATGTGTTTTACATAGGAACCAATATTTTTATCATACTGGTATGAATAGTGAAAAAAGTTCTTTGAATATTATATTATATAATAAAACCATACATAACTCATGTATCATGTATGGTATAATGCATAATTATTGAATTGAAACTATAAAAAATATTGTCCAAATACACTAAATAAATGTTCTTTCCCCTTACTTTGAAAAATTAATTTAGACATAAGAGCCCACATTATTGGATTCTTTTCTCTGATTCATTTTAACATGCCTGTTTTTATAGTTCAGATCATTTTATTTCTTTTTAAAATATTGTTATCTATATTATTTGTTCAGATTTTATTAAATTAACCACAACTTAGGTCAACTTATCGCATATATTAATTGATACCTTAAAGATTATAATAGTAAAATAATGTGAGAACAAAATGTGAAATACCTAGTGAGATAAACAATAATATATAGTACAATTTATTACAAAATAGACAAGTGTTACAATTTATTATATAGGAAAAGAGTTTAAAATTAAATAAACATAATTACAACTTGTCTTAGATGTAAATTGATTTAAAAAAATATTTTCTATGAACAAAATAAATCACAATTAAAAAAAAAAAATACTATTAGAGAAACTTATACAATGAGGGTGTATTTAGGACTTAAGTTTATGTAACTTAGAGTTGGATCACTTTTAAATGTATTTTAATATCACATATAAATATTTATTAGATGGGCATTGTGGTGATAATACTGATACGGTTGACGTTGGCATATTGGATATTGTGGAAGGAATCAATTTGCATCAATTTGAAAGCGATTCAATGTCCACTTCAACGAATACAGAAGTTTACAACAGTCCAGAGTACACACCATACCATGACCACTTAGAGTCAGAAGAGAGTGAAGAAGAAGGTAATCAAGAACTAATGAATGAATCACATACCGGTAATACAAATAATGCAATTGAATCAGTAGAGACAATTATTGTAGACAGAGCAAAAAAAAGTCAAATTACCAAAAAATTAATAAAAAATAAAAGGGTTTTCTGTCTATTTTGTGAACAATTGGAGACAAATTTTCCAAGACACTTGGAACGTAAACATGCATTAGAACCAGAAGTCAAAGAATTTATCTTATTACCAAAAAAAAGTAAAGAACGTGTTATGCATCTAGAACTTTTGAAAAATAAAGGTAATTTACAACACAATAGGAATGTATTGGAACAAAACAAAGGATCACTAATTGTTGGCAGGAGACCACCAATTTCTAGTGAAATTGATGCAAATAATTTTTTGCCATGCACTCATTGTTTTAAGTTTTTTAAAAAACAAAAACTATACCGTCATATTAATAGATGTCCGTTCAAAAGTACAGCAGTTGCAGATGGTTTGCCAAAACGCAGAAACAATTTAATGCAAAGTGCAACATTATTGCACGTAGCTAAAGATCACACGCAACTACAAAATGAAGTTTTTGTGTCTATGAAGTGTGATGATATTACCTTTGTTGCTCAAAGTGATGATTTGATATGTTTATTTGGCTCAAGACTTCTCAAAAATCACAGAGAAAGGCATTTAAAAAATTACATATCACAAAGACTCAGACAACTAGCAAAATTTTTACAAATTTTACGTGGCTTAGAACCTGATGTAAAAAATTTAAAAGATTTTTTGGTTCCAAAACATTTTAAAACTGTTGTTCAAGCTGCAAAAGAATTGAGTGGGTATGATGAAGAACACAACACATATGTCCATCCAACAAATGCACTTAAGATTGGACACTCGATATTACAATGCGCAGATATTCTCCAAAGTCAATTTCTTGTTACCGGTGTTCCTGAAGAAAAATTACAAAACTTAAAATATTTTACAAAAGTGTTTAATAAAGAATGGCGATATTCCATATCTTCTAATGCATGTGCAGATTTGTCAAAAAAAAAATTTAACAAAAGTGTCAGCTTACCAGATGCAAAAGATATAACACTTTTGCATAATTTTCTATTAAATCAGCTTGAAGAAGTGAAATCATTGATTGAAAACAATGAAATAAATCATGAAACATACAAAATATTATGCCAAAACTTACTGACCCAAATTATTCTACTTAACCGCCGCAGATCAGGTGAAGTCCAAAGAATAAAAGTTATAGATTACTTAAATAGAAGTAAAAATAAATTGCAAGAAGAAATCCAAAAATCACTTTCAGAAGTAGAAATAAAACTATCAGAAAGTTTTGAAAGATTTGAAATAAGGGGAAAGCGTGGAAGGGCAGTTCCAGTTTTATTAACAGGTTTAATGAAAGAATCTATAGATCTTCTTTTAAAAATTAGAAATGCCGCTAGTGTATTTAAACAAAATGAATACTTGTTTGCGATTCCGAATACTGCAGTAGGATGTTACCGTGGCTCTGATTGTCTGAGGAAGGCAGCAAACGAATGTGGATCATCTGCCCCAGAACTACTCACATCAACTAAACTCCGAAAACATATTGCCACAATGTCTCAATTATTAAACCTAAGTACAAATGACAGAGAACAGCTTGCCAATTTCATGGGTCACGACCTAGCAATACATAACGAATACTATAGACTCCCTAACGAAACATTACAAATTAGTAGAGTTAGTAAAATACTTCTGGCAATGGAGTCCGGTAATCTGCATGAACTTAAAGGCAAAACACTCGAACAATTTGATGATTTTTTGATGCCTTCCAATGCAATTGAATGTTCCTCTGATTCTGACGATAATGAAAATGTTACAGGTATTATTTTATAAACTCTAAAATATTAGGATTATTGAGTTATCTGAATAATAATCATGTTTTATTTGTTATCAGATTCTGTTGGTGAAAATGCATTAGATGTTGAATGGAGTGACGATGAGAATATTATAGATACCAGTAAACAACTCACATCAAAAAAGCAAACGTCAGTTACAAAAACAAAAACTCGAGTTGATTACATTAAATGGAGTAATGGTGAAATGGAAGCACTTAAACGTTTTTTTGGTAAATTCATAGCTTTACATAAAATTCCACAGCAGCATGATTGCCTCTTAGCCATAAAAAAGGAGCCCGCTTTGGGTAAAAGACCATGGAAAAAAATTAAATTCCAGGTGGCCAATATGATTAAAAAATCATTAAAATAGATTGTTTAAAAATTTGTTATTTTGAAGTGTGAAATATATTAATCTACTTAAATCTAAGGTGTTTTGTTAGTTATAATTTTGTTCTGGGGGGATATACCTCCCCCCTTAGAAGACTTATTTTTCTAAACATATTTGTGAGCAGGGACATTTTTAATAAAAATGTAATTAACATAAATTGTTTAATATATAAAATAAGATCTAATTACCGAGGTCTTTTTGCTAGTTCATTTATTATTTCCTTGGTGTCAATTTGTATATGATTATGAACAGATAACTTAGTTAATCTGTTCAATTGATCCTGTTTTATGACAAAATATGATTGTTAAATTAATTATTATTACAATTTAATGAGTTATTATTATTTACACATAGGTGTAAATAATATGAGACTTCATAATATATCCATAACATTGTACTCTTATACTACCTTTAAAGATGTCGGAGTCAAAATTACATCACGACACACTGAAATAATTTCATTCTGAATTTGGAACAAATGAATTTATTTCTTCCTTCTTTTTGCAAATTACTTTTTAAATAGTCATCACTATTACTGCGGTAGTTTAAAATGGCTCTAAAACTACCTTGATTTAAAATTATTACAACCTGTAACATAAATTACTTACAGGTTAATGAAACAAAATTATAATATCAATCATAATATATACAAAACTTTGTATGATTAAAAAAATACTAACTACTTACTAACGTCCAAAATCATTATGGCCACGCAATGCTTCTCTAATTCTTGACGACCACTCAATATTATACAATCAATAATTGATACGAGGCGTTTCTTATTGGATTTAATTTGATATAATCTAATTAAAATTTTAAAAATATCATAAATATATATTGAAAAGTAATAAATAATTAACATAACTCATGCCATTTTGTACCTATCGGAATCCAGTCGATCTCACTTATTAACAATTCTTTATGATAATATATTTTTAAAAATTATCTGAATCCAAAATGAAATATTCATGATAGCTTCTTTGTGAATGTGTACTATAAGTTGAAAATATAAACACAATAATAGATAGGTATATACAATCTACCAACATAGGCATATAAATAGGTAACTAATAAGAAAGCATGCAATAAGTGAGCATTTCAACTACCTGCTTAGCATTTTTCCACTCATTAAGGCTTTAACTACAAGTTGTCCTGTCCTAATAGCTGACTACTAATTCCACTATTGATTATATGACAGCTGATTAAAATTTATACTCAGCAAGCTGAAACCTCAAGCCATATTTTTTGTTTTTTTTTCGCTTATAGGAAATTTATAATTAAACAGTGTCCACACATTAGTTAGAATCTAAAATAATTTTTGTTATTGTAGTTATACAGTTTTTGATATAAAATTGTTGTTCTTACAAGATGTTTATCTTCATCATAAATCATATTTCTTTGTAAAAATAAACCTACATCATTTTTGTGACATATCTTGAATTCAATCTGTAGTACGCATTAGGTATTAAGGTTTTATAATTACTCAAGCATTTTATAACAAGCTCATGTGCAATGCACTATAATATGGAAATGTTAGTTATCAAATAAATATAAAAATATAAAAATTATTAATACATGCAAATATTTTGTATGCGTCAATAACTTTTATCAAAATGAGGAAAAGTAGGTAGGTACTTACACGGATTGAAAATTCAGGCGGCAGATCACAACCGTCACTATTCTCAGTTGAAATAAGTAATAACCTGAGAAGATTCAATATTACTGTAGGCTGATTTGCTTTTTTCTTGTTTTAAATTTTAAATTAAAAACAAAAAATGTATATAATTATTATAACTTAGGTAAACAAATAATATTACAAAAAGTTCAATTTTAAGTCTAACACTGCTCTTACCTCATCTTCGTTTACTAATGTTTTTTTTATTAAAAAAGAAAAAATAGTAGGTATTCTTCTTTTTGATAGTTTCATGTTCATCAGCGTTATCCACAGTAAATGTATACTAACAGTATTTAAAACACAAATTTAAACATACGCAGCGGCTGAGAGACGTCACAAACAGAGAACTAGGTAAAATTGTATTATTTTGAAATAATAGGTATTCAATGTTGGAGTTGGATGTTGGCACATGGTACGTGGGTAGTAACGGACTTCGATACGTCGTAGTGACTAATGCCAGTGTTGTACTGTTGTACACTTGTACAACAATCGTTTTGAGTCAGTGGTTATCAGTAAATAACTGATCAGTTATCATCTTAATTATAGATGCTTATAGCAACCTAATTTATCACTAAAACTAGTTCTATACTTCTATAGTATAAATCAATTCAAACATAGCCCGTGTTTAAATCTGCCCCAATTCCCCTATGCAGGTGCGCATCGAGAGGAGGGGGGAAAAAAAGTCGATAATATCGTTTGTAATATAGTTAATAAAAATAAAATATTTAGTAGAATAATATAATTTTAGTTTACGAATCTACGATGTCACTTGACGGAATATTATCTAAAATCGTAGTGAAAACTAATATTAGACTATTAGGTTATTATTGGGAGAGAACGCTGTTGTGGTTTTATGGACCTTGTTTTCGTAATACCTAGGTGCTATTTTTAATATTATCACTACGTAATATTATATTGACATATTATTATAATCACCGCGCTGCCCGCATACAATTTATTACTATACCCTGTTCCAAAAGAGAATACCAGGCGGCCAGTATATAAATGATATACAGCCATTGTGTAACTAGTGGCTAGTGGCCACGATTAAACATATACCTTATATCTTTAATCGTGCTAGTGGCTACTACTACGATACTGTAGTTCATTGTTTTATTATATTTATTACTTTATAACAGATATTTAACCGTGCTAATTCGGCCGATTATACTCCGATTAACTTTAATCAGAGACTGTGCAACTGGCCCTTAGTGTTTAATCGTCATAATAATATTATATTAGTCTAGATGGCGTAGTAATGACATAGTGACCACTGACCAGCCTGCAGTTCGCGTGTAATACTATACAAGTGTTATACTTTATAATGTAATATAATTTTTTTTTCAATATACCCAATTTGAAGCCAACAATTTAAAACGTATACTAAATAGGGGCATCATATTTTTTTATGTTTGATTCCCCATACATTGTCCCAACTCCCAATACGATTGGACCTGCCCCTTTGATGTGAAAATGTTTACCAAAAAGTTATCATCGGAGTTCATGTGTGTATGAAAGTGTGTTAGGGAAGTCATAATGCTAGAAGTCATAAGTGTATCTTAAAATTGCATGCATTTTTCTTTTAAATGTCAAGTTTTAAACTCAGAATTGCTACAGTTATTTTTTTCTAAACGTTTTAATGTCAACAAAAATGTTCTAAAACAGGTTTTTAGGGTGGAATCCGTAAATGCCTTAAAACTCATACGGAGTCCATTAGATACCGCACACTGGTATGTGTGTGTGCGTGCGTGTAATATTGAAGAAATAATATAATATTAATTATTACCTTTCCTGCTGTCTTTGTCTTTTTGATATTGGCTTTTGTTTCTACATCATTTTTTTCTTTTATTACTGCTTGCTTTGACATGTTTTGCGATAGATATACTTTCAGTTTCATGCTATTATTTAATAAAATTACAATACTATTATTATAATAATTATCAAATTATGATTTGTATTACACACACACACACATACATATTATACGCTCTACTGTACAAACATACTTACATCTTCGTTTGAAGAGCTTTCGGCAGATGCATTTGTTTAGTAAGACATTGTGTTTTTTTATAACTTAAATAAATGTACAGAAATCATAATGCAGCAAAACATTTCATAAAATCAGTGATAGATATAGGCACAAAAGTTTATAATCTTTATCAAATAAATATACCTATGGATAAATTAACTACTGATGAAGAGAATAAATTTCAAAATGTTAAAATATGTGAATGCTGTCTCAAGTCATTTAAAAAAAATAATTTAGTCAAAGTAAGAGATCATAATCATTT